ATGGTCGCGTCGTCCCCACTTTCCGGCGTGTACGGATGGACACGAGATCCCTGATGACAGCAGACCCTACAGACTTTCAGATAATTTGTGTATTGTACGCTAATCCTCGAGATATTTTTCGCTTATAAGGTAAGAGAATTACAAAATTATCCACTACTATAATACTGTGCTAATTCGTAATGTGTACTGTATTCTCTCATTAATATACTTACAGTTTCGTTTATTGGTTTTGTAACTGTTACACACTACTTATTAATACTCTAACTATACGTATATCTTTGTAGGCTGAATGTAAGTAGCGGTGAAGTTTTCTATCCTGTCTGTTCTAAAGGATTTCCATCTGCAGTTACAGAAAATTCCGCAAGTGAGTGTTTATCCTTTTGAATTGAACGGTAAGCAAGGAGTCATCGTCATCCTTCAAAGGTGAAAGCTTGGCGAGGAAAGGTGTTAGATTAGGTTGAATCGTAACCAAGGGGACAAGAACGATGTAGAAGGTGATCAAACTTAGTACCGTTTTCAAGATTCCAGAGCTTCAATTGATAGCGTTGTAGTTACTTTTTATATAGTGAAGCAAGTAACAATATTGTTGAGGAAAAATATTAAATTGTTATGATTTAGGCAAGTAAAGAAGTTGAATGATATTTAGTAAATGTCACGGGCCTCTTGCTGAATGCATGGGACCTATATTATCAGAATGCATTGGGCAGTCGTCTAATCTTGGATCATCAATAGTACTTTATCGGTTATTAAGTAAGACTAGGATATCAAGTATAATTTGTGGGGTTCACCTGGTTGTGGAAATATATTAAAGTGCACCAATTTGTTTATATTCTAATTTGAGTCTCTTTCCAGATATCTTGATGAACGTTGTGGCTCATTTGTGTAACGATAAAACAATTGAAAGAATTGGGTGTGTTAAACTGCCTGCAGTAATGGCCGGTGCCAGTGATGTAAAGGAGGTAAACGCTGTAGCTTCTGATGAGTTGAGATTTAATAGGTTACCAGTAATAGATTAATTAATAGGAGTTTTAAACCAGGCTCTAACTATATAAATTAATAGTCAGTTTGTATATTTCCTTACTTATTATATTATATTAGTGCCTCGATATTAATATGTATACAATAGTATATTTGTTTAGGCGGAACTATAAATGAGAGTTTAATCTGTAACTTAATTTGTTAAGGATTATTCACATTTAATTTAATGCAGTTCTATCGATAAGT